TTGCAAAACATATACCTGATAAAGGACTCATATCCAGAATTTATAAAAAAAACTCTTAACTATAATAGGAAAACAATCAAATTTTAAAATGGGCAAACAATTTGAACAAATACTTTAGCAAAAATATATAAATGGCAAAGAAGCTTAGGAAAAGATGTTCAACATCATTAGTCATAAGAGAGAAATGTAAATTAAAAACCACAGTGAGGGACCAGCAGGTGGCGTTGTGGTTAAGATGCTGGACACTCCCACATGGCCGACCACGGTTCAGGTCCCGGACCTGGCGGCTTTTTTCTCCCTTTCCCTCTCTCTCTCTCTCTGGTCAAATTAAAATAAATGAATGAATAAATAAAATTAAATAAATAATAATTAAAAAAAACCACAATGAAATACCACATCACACCCACTGAGATGATTCGGAGAAAAAGACTGAGCACATTAAGTGCTGATGAGGATATGGAGTAACTGGATCTCCCCCACACCATGGCAAGACTGTGAAATGGACATATGCTTTGGAAAACAGTCTAGAAGTTTCTCAAAAAGTTAGACACACACCGACAATAAGACCCTGTCATTTTACTCCTCAGTATTTACCTGAGAGAAATAGAAGTACACATCCATTTAGAGACGTGTACACAAAGGTTCACAGCAGCTTAATTTGTAATAACCCAAACTGGAAGAGTCCAAAATGGCCTTTGACAGGTAAAGGGATAGACGTGCCATCGTACACCCACACCTGAAATGCTACTTGGCAGTGAAGAATGAACTACTGTGTGCAGTAACGTGGCTAAACTTCCACCTGGTCATGCTGGATGAAAAAACAGGGGCGGGTGGGAAAAGCTTTACCTGACAAGAGGCACAAGACTTGGGTGCTGTGAGAGGCTTTTTCATCTAGAGCTCTAGGAAATGGAAACTCATTTAGTGACAGAAAGCAGATAAACGATTAACTGGAGAGGAGAGGCCAGAGGAAGGGATTATGGGGGAATGGCTCTGGGGATATAATTATCTCGATTGTGGTGACAGCTTCACAGCTGTACTCCTATGTCAGAGTTACCGAATTGTGTATTCTAAATATGTGAATTTTACTGTATGATAATTAGATCTCAACAAAACTGTTAAAAATAGAGCTCAAACAGGGCTAGCCAGGTGGCATGGTTAAGATGGTGGGAGCCCACACTGCACGGTTCAAGTCCTGGACCTGGTGGATTGAAAAATGAGTCAGGCGTGTGTGCTTGCATGCATGTGAGAGGAGAATGGAGGAGAGGGGACTGTGGTGTGGCCATCTACCCGGGCAGGGAGGTGATTTCTCACTTTCTCTGTCTCTCTTCATCTCTCTCCAGTGGACACATGCACCCTGCAGCAAAACTAAGAACAAGTATATGCGTATGTGTTTGTACACATGTAGTTCAAACAGCCCAGCTGTGATAGCACAGGGGGAAGGGCCCTGCTACATGATACTGGAGCCACATGAGAAGGCCTTGGGTTGTTTTTGGGGGTGACCTGAATATAACAGGCACACTTGTGAGCACATCTGTGGTCCTGGGCTGGAAGGCTGGGGGAGTGCTGTGGCATGGGGAGACCACGTCAGGGCTCTATCTGTTTCTTCCTCTCAATAAATAAATAGAAACTTAAAAAAAAAAAAAAGAAAAAAGAAAACAAAACTGAACAAAAAAATCAGAATTTTACACATATTCCACTTTGCATTTTTTAAGAATTATTTTATTTAACTTTATTTATTTAATTATTTACTTTAATTTCACCAGAGAGGGACAGAGAAAGAGAGAGAGAGAGAGAGAGGGAAAGTGAGAAAGCAAGCTGCCAGGCCCAGGACTCGAACCACGGTTGGTCCAGTACCCCTAACCACCGTACCACCTGCCGGCCCTCCGTTTCGCATTTTTCTTTAGAGAACTACTATGTAGTGAGTCAAGCCTTGTAATGTGGGTAGAATGCTATTTTATTCACTTTAAAATAGATGTTCAAAGATGCAGAAGAGAAACTTGAACAAAAGAGAGATTACAAAAAAACTGATTCAAGAAGTTGACAACTATAACAGAATACGCTGTCTTAGGTTTTAAGAATATATATTTTTTTCAACTGAAGATCATCTAATATTGACTTTATTTAACAAAGTGAATCAAATTCCAGATGCTCTCCCCTGCAGCGTTTGGCGTTCGGCAGGACAAGGCTTCAGGAAAGGTGAGAGTAAGAGGCCAGAGACGACAGCTCAGTCCGGAGGGAGGGCAGCTCCTGAATGCTGACTCCGCAGGCCTCTGCAAAGTCTGTGTTCTCGCAGGCTGGTGTTGCTGCGGGAATACTTAACGCATGTTCCGCCTGGCATTTTTCTTTACACAAGTATTATGTAGCGATGCAAGCCTTGAAACGTGAGCAGGATGCATTTTACGAATCCTAAAATACATGTCTGAAGACTCAGAAGAGAAATGTGAACAGAAGAGTTAAATGCATATTCAGATACATGAACTACAATTGAGAAAAATATTTGGAATGTTCTACTATAACCATATGATAAATGACTTATTCTTGACTTGGCATATAGGAAAGATGCACTCTTCTATCTCCCGTAAATTTATCATCAGACAAGCGAGAGAATACGCAGCTACACAGGTAATGGAACGTGGAATAGAAGCAGTAACCATAGCGACGGAATCAGTCAAAATCGTTTTGACAGCAAAAAGAGAACCACCTCACCAAAAGTATTCATTACTTATGATTATGTTACCCTAAATTTGACAGTCATCTTAAGTGCTCACGTTGTTAGAGGTAAGTTGTGGATCTAGAAGAGACTTTCCTAAAGTTTTAATGATAAGAATCTAATTCTGACCAAACATGCTATAGAAAAAAGTAAATTCTTCCTCATTGGAGAAAATATTATAGCATTGTTGCCATATGAAGGGGTGGTGATAGAGTATGAGGTTAAAAATGGTAGGAGGAGGAGCACAGAGGCATGTCAGGCAGTTAACTGAAAATGTTTTGTCATTTCTCTGGATTTTATAAAGTGTGACTTTTGGGTGCATCTAAATGCTGTCATTTTCTGTGTTTTATATTCTCGGTGGAGATCAGTTCTGACTGCGTTGTGACGGTGACCTTGTCGCTGTGTCATTGCAAAGTGCATGTCCACAAACGGATGGTACAGTCTCCTGCACACCTAGGCCATGTGGGATGGCCTATGGCCCTTCTGCTCTTCAGTCATGTTAAGGTCCCAGAGCCGCCCCCACCACTCCATGGAGCCAGCTGGAGTAGACACCATCTGAGAAGGGGAGCAGCCCTCACCAGGCAGCCCTCACCATGCCTGATCCTGCTGTTCCTCAGCTTCCACTCCAGGCCCCAGAAATGAGCAGTAAGTGGTATTGTTTATAAATGACCTGGTCTCAGGTATTTTGTTACAGTAAGAGGGCAGACTAAAAAACTGTCCCTCCTGACAGTGTGGGTGTTCCCAAAGAGACAAAGCCCTGGGCCATCAAACCTAACATGCCTAACTCCAACTCACACAGCCCCACACCCTCCCCTTAAAGAGGGCAGTCGGTCTGAGACCAAGAGCCTTCACCTTGGCCTGGCTTCCTTGTTCTCTCACACCCACTTCTGATCCCTCAGCAAATCCTGCTCATTCTTCCTTCCAAATGCCTCTCACATGCCTTCCCTTGTCTAGCCTCTAGTTAGTCCTTTCAGACTGCTCACTATCTGCCCCCAACCCCTGCCTGTCCTCAGCACTATGACTGAGGTTGAGCTAATGGTCACATTTCTCATCCCAGGCATGAAATGCCTTCTCTCAGGGAAGTCCAGAGTCCTGCAGGGCTGGGATCTTTGCCCACCTGCTAGGGCCTTCCCGCCTTCTAGGCTTCATCCACCTTCTAGGTTCCCCCCACTATTTGGGTTCCCTACCTGCTGGGCTCCACCATCTGCTAGACTCCTCCCACCTGTCGGACTCCACACCTGCAGGGCTCTCTCTCTCTGGGCCCCCCACCTGCCAGGCACAGGTCACACCATCAGCCCTCTGGAGGCCCTTCCTTGTGTACTTTTATGCCATCCCACCATAGGTTCTACCTGTGTCCTGTGCACCTTTTATCTTGTGGGATTGACTCATGCTGCAGCTGCCATGCACTGTCCCATGCCATGGGTACTGAGGGGGAGCGTACAGTTTTGCACCCATGCCACCTTCTGGACTTCACTCAGCTGGGCCAGAAACGTGGGCAGGTGCTATGCTGGGCTCAGGCCTGATGTTCTACAAGGCACTGACTATGGCCAGGGGTTCTGGGGCAGGGGCGGGCAAGGGTGTGCCCAGCCAGTCAGGACCCTCTGGCTGGGCATACAGGGTGAACGCCTCAGGCCAGGCAGGCTGGAATCTGAGAGCAGGCAGGAAGGGGACTGCTACTGAGAGCGGGCACTGTGGCCTTCATACTCCTAGAATCACGGATCCTTAAGAGCAAGAGGATACTCCCTGCTGGGCTTGGTCTGCCTGCATCTTTCAGGCCCACCACCCTTCCAGACAATCCCATGAATCCTGAGACGCCCCCCCAAAACCACCCCAACGTGGGGGTGGTTCTCTGACCTAGGACACGAACTTTCCTGGGCACCTGGCAGTGGGGACTCCTCTCTGCTCCAGGTCCTGGGTCCTGGAGTTGTACCCACTGGAGGGGAGGGAGGGTGTGGGTTCGGCCATGGGGGCCTGTATCCCACCTAGGGCTTCAGCACCAGAAGGGGCACAGGTGGCTCATTGCAGGCGAGCACAGGTGGGTGGGCCTGTGGCTGCAGCAGCTGGGTATGGGCATGCTCTCCTACCTCCCAGTTTAGGATAGTAGGAGGGGCCACTGTGTGCCCAGCCTGGGCGCCCACAGCAGCAATGGAGAGGAAGATCTCACAAGGCTGAAACCAGCATTTGGTACTTATTATGAATAGACAATCCCATTTTTTTTTTTTTTCATTTTAAGTAGTTTTTCAAAAGTTAAAATAGAAGAGCTTCTGCCAGTTGGGGAGAGCAGATAAAATCTTGGTTTGTGTGTGAGAATGGGCCCTGCTTCTTTGGACGGCAGGCTGGCCATGGTGTGAGTCTCCTGGGCGGTCCAGGTGCTCATGAGTGAGGGCACAGGGTTGCAGAGATGAGCCAGAGCCGGTGGGGAGCGCGACATTTATTGAACTCTGTCCAACAAGTGCAGAGGGCTTCCTGTGAGGTCTCACTCATTCTCCAGTCACATGGGCATGCAAGGCCCCCTAACGTCTCCCCAGCAGGTGACATCCAATGACCTCAGGCCTAGCAACCTCCACCACTGTCTCTGCCAGTGGGTCAGAACCCTGCCGCCCTCCACAGCCCCTCCCCAGGGCACTCCATGCAGGTCACAGGAAAGACTTCCCCTGATTCCAGCATAAGCCCTGAGGGGACAGGGTGTGTGAGGGGGGACCTGGAGCTGGCAGAGGAGAGAGCAGGTCCAGGAAGTACTGTGGAAGCATCAGACCAACTCTTAAACTGGTACACTGACACTAAGAACGGTATTTCTAAAACATCACAGGTGGGAACATCCCGGGCTTCGGGATGATTCACACGCATGCCACTGCATGAGCACACTGGGCGCAGACGGACACTTACAGAGCAGGATCGGGACAGAGCCTGGAGCTTAGAGACAGCGATCTGCTGTGCGTGTATCTATGGCATATATCACTTTTGTAAAGAAACCCTCTCTATTTGTGTTTGCGAGGAAGGGCAGGCAGTCTGTACAGAGTGTGCAGCCAGGCTGGCCGCGGGCTCGAGTGGGTCGGGTGACGCAGGCGAGGCTGCTGGGTGGGATTAGAGCGCACCCATCCCGGTGACCTCGGACGTCAGCCTGGAGCAGACAGAAACACAAGGGGAACAGGGTCAGGACATTTCCACACACGAGCCGGAAAGCAGATGTCAGAAACAAGACGGGGGCCTGTGGCACCCTCATGCCTCCCCATGGGCCTCTGCCCACACCGGCTGGGCTGGAGCTGGGGACCACAGCAGAGCACCGTGGGAAGGGCTGGTCAGGGCCCGATGGGGCCTTGATCCCCGACCCCCACCAGGGCCCACCCCTGACTGGTGAGCCGGCTCTGCCTGACAGCAGGTACGGGTACTTCTGAGTGCCTGACTCTGGGCCACCAGTCAAGCAGCCCTGCCCTCAAGACATACAAGGTCTGCCTCTGTGAGTCCTTGCCTTCTGCGTCTGGCTGTCTGTCCTGGGAACAGCTGTGATGGTATAGGGCCCCTTGGCCTCAGGCATGGATCCAGGCAGGGCGTTACTGAGGGCACAGGTGTGGCAGGTGCATACAGGCCCGCCTGTGCCTGCTCACCACAGGCTGGCTGACACCATGCTCTGCCTGGGCTCCACCCCACAAGCTGGGTAGCCATAGGGGTGGGGAGAGCCTCAGGGATGATGACAGAGGGAAAGTGGTTGTCTTGTTCCCCATATGACTCCCTCACTTGACAGCAGGGAGCATGGTCAGGCCCTGTGGGGAGGGGCATAGGACAGTCACGCCACCCACACAGGGCTGCCTCTGCCTATTCTAGCAGGCCCAGCTGGGGCGGAGCTCCTGTGTGAAAACACCGTCTGGTGGGAGGGGGTATGTTCAAAGGCAGCTGTGGGCCGGTGGTGCTGGGGGCTGGTGACACTGGGGGTGGGTATCATAGGCCTATGTGGCGGGAGAGGGCCTAGCAGGGAGCTGAGCCAGGTCAAACTGTGCATATCAGCTCCAGACCCTTCCACCTGATTTTTTTTGACCAGGTTTTGTAGGATTTGCCACCCGATGGCCCCAGAACCTGTCCTGGCCACATAGCCACCCACCACCCACAAGACTCTCTTCTACATTCCTGCCTCCTCCCTGGAGACCTTCAGGGGATCTCGGGGAGTGGGTGTGCAGACCCTCATCACAGTCTGCCCAGCATCTGCCAGGAAGAAGGGCACCCTGCCTGTGGCCTCAGGCCATGGCCAGCTGCCCTGAATAGTCCTGGGGAGCTGCTCACCTGGCGTTGATGAGATACTGGGCGAGGCTGATGTTGGCCGGGGTCCCCGTGATGGTGATCTGACGCTCTGATGACCCTTCAGTAGCGTTGGCAATTTTGATCTGAGCTCCAGACATCTGTCGTATTTCATTGATCTTGGTCCCTTGGCGTCCAATTATACAGCCTATTAGCTAGAAGAAAAGAGAGGGGCTTCTTAGGGAAGATCCCAGGATAGTCCTGCAGGGCCCAAGCAAGAGCCCCAGAAAGCCCATGGGGCTGGGCTCTTAGCCTTGGTCTTCACCCTAGCCCGACGACTGCTCCAGAGGAAGAGGCAGGCCAAGAACATGCCTGCAGAAGACCCCTGGCCTGTAGATCCTTGGAGGGGCCTGTGCCAGCCAGCTTCAGGGCCACCTCTGCTTGGTGCCTTCCTGTGAGCAGTCCACGAAATTGAGAGTATGGCCACATGCCTGGCCACCCATACTGTCTCTTTGGGAGCCCGATCAGGAGTGGCTCAGACATGGAAGGGGGCAGATGTTGGGAGGGTGGGTGAGGCCATATAACCCCTTCCTGACATATCCTCAGGGGAAGGACAGTTGCACCCAGAATCAGAACCAAGATCATTGTTGTTTAGGAAGATGCTTGTTGATGAGCTTGGATAAAACTCTCTGACATATCAGGCATTTCCTTCCCTTCCTATTTTGTGACCTGTTTGAGGATGAAATGGAGTGACCTTGGCCAAGGTATTATCAAAAATCAGGGTCCTTTTTGAAGCAGCTTAGGGCAGAGCTGGGGACACTCCAGAGCATAGGACAGCACACAGGCCAGGTTGCAGCCTGGAGGTCAAGGTCTGTGTTGTGACCAAGCTGAGGTACTTGGGTCACTCACAGCCCATCCAGCAGACCCCTGAGAAGGCTACAGAGGAGCCACTGACACCCTTTGATTTTCACCATCAATGGAACAGAGTCCCTTCATCATGTACACGCTGCTGATAAGGGTTCTGGAGCGAGGACAGGAAGAAACAGCCAGACAGGTGGCAGAGGGCTCCAGCTCAGAGCTGGTCCCAAGTGCTTAGAGGGAGGGACAGGGTGGCCAGGCACACACAGGCCCCAGTGGCCATACTGGCTTGGTCTGCCTCTGAGCCCACCTCCCTGCATGGGCACTAACTGCATTTCTGAACCACGTGACGTTAAGCATCAGAAACACATTTCCGCTCTTACGTCAATGGAGCATTGAATGGAAGGGGTGGGGCTGCCCAAGATGGTGGAAAGTCCCTGTCCAGGTGTGAAGGGCTCTGGATCTACAGCACTGCCTTTCTTCAGGCCAGCTGTGGAGGTCTGAGGACACAGCCAAGATAGACATGGGCAGGGGACAGCAGGGGTGGGACACTTGCTTTGTTTCCTTGCTTCCCTCCAAGAAGGTACAGATGGCAGCATGAGTGGAGTCGTACCCGCCCTGCAGGCCAGACACTGCCCCACCAGCTGGGGTGGGCAGAGGAAACCCTACAGCATGAAGGCCCCTTTTGTGAGGAGATTGATGGGGTCATGGATAAAGAGGGGCTGCCTTCCCACTGGGGCACAGGCTTCCCTTCCCTGGAAAGGCCCTTAGAAGGAGGACAGAAGCGTGACAAGCTGGGTATCCATCTGAGGAGGACACAGGGCACAGGGCGCTAGCTCTCCAAAGGATGCCTGTCCTTATGCAGCTTATGTTCATGTCAATCTTATGACAAGTGCTGGGTACGGGCATCTTGGTGTTAGTGAGATAGGTCTGGGTAACCCACAGGAAGGGGTGGGCACTGGCATTTACCACTTGGGTAAAAAGACTAGGAGGGAGCCAGGGACAACAGCAGTGAGAGGAGGAAGGGGTGAGTGGGAAGGCAGACAGCTGGGCCTCCTGTTTGGGGGATGGTTCTGTGCTGCTGCTCCGGGGAGCTGAAGGCTGGGCACAGAGTCACTCGGGACAGTGCAGGGACTCTGTGCCAATGAGCGGCGGGACAGGAGGTGCCCTGGGGTGGGCATCACTGGCACACGCAGGAGCCTGGCCTGCTACTGGCCACGAGGGTCCTGCAAAGACGGCTACTCTCCCATGGCCCCTGGCTCTCACCCGCCTCTCTTCCTCTTCCTTACCCACCTCCCACTCTCAGGGCTGGATCCCTTGAACTCGGGTCTGTGCTTCCTACAGTTAGGCTGCATGACAGGAAGAAGCTGGGCTCCCATTTCCTGCTAGCTTGTGCCAGGGACCAGGCAGTGAGGGTTCCAGAGGCCACAGCTCCAGGACACAGGAGCGGGAGAGCAGAGGCAGTCATCCAGGCCCACACAGGCTCTGCTTGTCGTTCTGGTAGCTATTCTCAATGCCATGTGGTCCACAATCTCCCTAGTCTCTTGGTTTGGGGACTATCCAAAGATTCAGAGTAAAGGTCATTCACTAGACCCCTGCTTAGCCCTGTGGGCCCCGAATGTGTGCAGGAGAGCTTGGAAAGTCAACTCACAGGTGGACCTGAGGCATGAAAAAACGAGAAGCACTAGACATAGAAACCAGGACAAACCAGTTACATCCACCCAACTTCACATGTCCATAAAAGCCAAATCAGAGGACCCCAAACCTCCAGAGGGATCAAGGCTCCTCAGCTGGTACTGGGGCGGGTCTACTTTTGAGTGTTCCTGGGACACTCTGCTCTTCAGGTCTGACTGCTCTAGAGCAGTGCCTTCATGGCAACACTGATTCCAAGCCCAGCTCTGGCACCTGATGCCCATTGACCCCTTTCTTGGTTAGTATCTTAGAGGTATAAAACCACATTCCTTCTATGGGCATTGAACCTGCTTACAACAGGAAAGGAAGGAAGACAGGCCTGGGTGGTGCAGACCCTGAACTGTGGGCCAGCTCCCAGGGTGGCATCACTGACAGCGTCTATGCAGAGAGGAGAGAGTAGGGCATACTCACATCATTGGGAATGGTGAGCTCGTGAGTGCTGGCCGGGGGGCTGGCGTCCAGACCTGGGCAACCAAGGGGACATGGTTAGGCTGGCAGGATGGCTGCTCATGGTCACACCCCAGCACCTGCCCGACACTCCACGGAGCCGGGCAGGCAGGGCTGGAGAGCTGGCCTGAGGGTGAGGGCTCACACACCCAGAGGTCTAGGCCCCCACCTTCTGAAAAGAAGGCAAAGCGAACCCAAGCAGACTGACATTTCACTGTTTGGGGTGTGTTGTGATTTCGGTCTCATCAGGTTTACAGACTCCTGGAGAATCCCAGGCTAAGGCAGGGCTTCCCAGCATGTCTCAGGCCTCTGTGGGGCACCAAGGGCACAAGCCATATTGGCCACACTGACCCTGCAGACACCACTGGTTCCAGACCCTGCCCCCTGCATCTGTCCTGTGCAAGGCCACAGGGCATGCATTACCTTTCTCCATTTCTAATCTAACTCAGTCCAAAGGCCAACACACATCCCAGCTGGGGCAGCTCAAACCATTGTGCAGTTTGTCCAACTTAGAGCAAGGAGATCTGCTAGCCTCATTGAGTCAAAGATGAGCTGCTGGGCCCAGTGAGAGACTGTATGTTTCCGTATCCGTATCTTTCCCACACTGGGAGTGAAGACTGGGCCTCATTTACCATCAGGCCCAAGTACTTTTTATTTTTCTTCAGTTATTTGCCGTAGGGCATGTGTGTTCACCAGAGAGAGACACACACACACACAGAGGGAAAGTGAGAAATCATCCCCCAGGGGGATGGCCATGTCACAATCCTCTCTTCGATTCTCCTCTTGGGATTTTGGGCATGCATGCACACAACTTCTGGTGTGATTTTCAAGCCACCAGGTCTGGGACTCAAACTGCTGAGTTGGCCATGTGAGATCTAGCCACCTTAACCTCCATGCTACCTGCTGGCCCAAGGCCTAGGTTTTTACCTTACCAACCTCAGGCTCCATCCCACCAGATACAAGACAGCTTCAGGCGGGAGACCCGCTCTTGTCTCAGAAATAAGACAAAAGTTTGCACAGTGCTCGGCCGTGTGAGCTGCAGGGGTATGGGCTGGAGTTCAGCTCTCCAGGGGTGCACTCTCCCTGTCCCCCATAGGAGGCTGAGATCCTACCCCTTCCCTCTCCAGGCCCCTCACAGTCCCCTGGACTTCGCCTTTCCAACCACACAGACCAGTTGAAGCACTTTCAGAATATCCAACCTCAGCCTCCTCTCCCACCATGCCCCCAATCCATCCCTGCCTCTGCTCTGCGTCCCCTCCACCCCCAGTCTCTACACAGCCCAGAGAAGTCCATAAAAAATGTATCTCAGATGCCTCCTGGACTCCACCAGGCCCTTTGCCTCCACTCCCTGCTTCAGGCTTGTGGTTCCCTGCCTCTGCCTGGGCCCCTGGTGGGTGGTCTGTTCAGTCTCACACCCTCCTCTAGGCACCAGGGCCCTCAGTTTTCCTGCAGGGAGCAGCCCTGAGGCTGTGGTTCTGGGAACCCAGCACAGCAGGGTTCAGTCAGTAAGTGCCAATGGACCAGGCCAAACCAGACTGTTTACTTTGCAAATCTAAACCTTAGGTTTCCGTTATCTTCTTTCAACTAAACTATTTTCAATACAATGATTATTTGCTTATTCAGCTATCTGTGCACATTCCACATATGGTGACATAAGACGTGTCGCTTAAAAGATTTCTCAATCCTGGCTGAGTCCCAGACAGAAGTTCCCGAAAATGCAGAGCTTGGGATGAGCACAGAGCTGGGAGCCTCGCCTGCTGCCCTGGAGTACCAGACTGAGGGGAAGAAGTGTCAGGGCTCTTTTTAAGAGTGTGCCACAGTTACATGAGTGACCTGAAGACCGATCTGCATACACGTGTCTGTTCCTCTCAGAACAGTGCAGCTCAGTGGGCCTCCTGTGGACACGAAGCCACCACTGCACTAGCGGTAGCGGTGCTGTCCCAACGCCCGCCCAGCTTGCCTGGGAAGCACCGCTGACTCAGCACTTGCATCGCCTCACACCCACCCTGTTTAACTTGAAGCTATGGAAGATGCAGCCTGGCCTGCTGGACCTGGGGCCTCAGGGAGGGGAGGACTGCTACAGGCTGATGTCCTGACAGCCAGGAAGCCATAACGTGCTGGCCACGTGCTGGCCCACCTGGGGCACAGCATGCTTGGCATCTCCCTCTCAGGGTTCTGCCATGCCCTGGGCCGCAATGTCTCCAACAGCTAACTTGCAAATAACCACGTCTGTTTCATGCCCTTGGCATTGAACCTGCACATCTATGCACCAGCCTGCACTATGCTAGGAATGGACACTTCAGAGCAGATCAGTGGGGTGCAGACACACGCGGCATGGATAAGCCACCCTCCCTGGGGGCCTGTGCACGTCTCTGATGAGCACACTTTGAAGAGGCACACGCCCCTGCAGAGCCCTCAATATTGTGCCTACAGCCTGTGCTGCGGCCTCACGACCTACCACCATGTCCTCAGCAGTGATCCGAGGCTTGTCCCACTGCACGCAGACGTGGGTGAGGCACATGAGCTCCAGCCCTTGGAGGCAGGCAGAGAGGGGTGGCCACCCTCCCCTCTTAGACAGTGTCCCACCCAGGTGGGGTGGCCCTGCTCTGTTCTGCAGTCCCTGGCCTGTTCTCCCTCTATCAGTGTGGTTGTGTTTTACCTGACGACTGGCCCATCAGATTTTGAGCTTCTTCGGAGGAGTGTAAAGGCAGCTTTTCTCCTGGAGAGCAAAGAAGAGACAGGTTTAATGTTTTGCCCTCAAGGAGATAAGCCAGGTCCCTTCAACTAGGGAAGCTCAAAATATGACTGGCCTCCCGCCGAGGCGTGGCTCTGCCTCTGGGGAGGGGAGGCCGGCAGCCAGACACAGCCATGGCTTTCTGACAGCCTTACGGCAGTGCTGGCTGGGGCTGGCTTACGGCGCAGCTGGCCCCGAGCAGGGCTGGGTGCCTGCTGGGCTGGGGTCGCGGGGTCCATGCAGCAGCTTCCTACAGAACATCCGGCTGCTAGTCTGTGCATGGGCTCCTGGAGCTCCAGGGCTGGCCACAGGACGAGGGAAGGGCTACCAGGATAGCGCAAGGGCAGTACAGAACGCTGCTGAGCAAGCAAGGGCCCTCACAATGGTGTGGGGGCAGATACCCCCTCACAGCAAGGCTGCAACATGGCCCACAGGCAAGTCAACTAGCCCATGAAGACAGAGACAGATCGACCGCCCCCCGCCCAGCCCTGACCACGTGCACCCCCCCGATCTTGTGCCCGCGCAATCCGGCATCCACACGTTAACTGTACCTGTTCCACTCACTGCACTGAATAGACAGTTCAGAGAGAGACAGTCCCCAGGGGAGAAGAGAAGGAGGCCAGAGAGGGCAGCTGGGTACGTACCGGGGAAAGCGGGGTTGGTCTGTCCGAGGGGAGGAAAGGGGGTTTGCTGCATGGCCAACTGGTGGAGCTTGGTCAACTGCTGGGGGTAGGAGGGACGTGAGAGCTGAGAAGGTTATCGTCATCGAGTACAGTCACACCAAATTAAAAAGGCAAAACAGAACTTTGCACAGAGATGGGGCCATGCGGACATGGCAGACGCAGTGCAACGCAAGGACTTGGCCTGGTGAGCCAATGCAGCCAGGGCGTCGACTGCACTCCTCTCCTCGCTCACCAGGCCGGTGTGGAGGGGAGGCTGGGCGGGGGGGGGGGGC